ACCCTTGACATGGGTTGAGTTTTGACTTCTAGTAAAGATCAGTCTTTACATTGGATATTTTAAAGTTGTCATGGTATGATAAACACAAATGTTACTACTTATAAACAGTTTTGTTCATGTGTCTCAAAACAGCAACATACAAACTTACCTGGCTCAATGGAATTTAACCATATTATTTACAACTAAGTTTTTCCTCAAGTGACATCTGTATCAAAAGAAAAAAACTTTTACTCATGACCTCTGTGTAAACTGTATCTGTACAACAGAAGATACAAGTTCATTCTGAGTTTGGGGCGAGGTCCCTCCTTTTTTCCAACATACTATACAAATACTCATTTGCTCCTATGAAAACGAAGGAAAAGGGGAAAAAAGAAAAGGGGAGAGGGAGAAGTGTGTGTTTAGCTAAGCAGGGGCAGCCCCTGGTCCATTGCCCATCATTTATTGATAAAGGCCCTGGAAAATGCGCGGGAAAAAAAACTAATGAAATTATCAACGTTCTTGAATTAATGATGAATGGGAATAAGAAAAGGCTGGGCTCTCTGTGGAGCCAGAGAGGAGCGCTGCTTCATTAGCCATGCAGTCTCATCACATCCTCTTTTGGAGCTGCAGACACTGGGGCTCTCCACTCTCTCCTCTCCTCAACATCAGGACCTGCCATTGGATTCCATTCAAAAAAAAATAAAAAATACGTCCTCATTCCCTCCACCCCTTCAGCTCCTGCTCGCTCTTTTTTTGTCTTTCCTATTACTTCACCTGTCACCTTCCACCCCCACCAACCCTCATCGCTTTCAGAAGAAAGGAACCCTTTGGTGGCTATTTTCATTTATCACTTCTTTCCCTTTACCTGAGGATGAAGAAAGAAAAACCTGACCCACTTCTGGAAGCATTTGGTGGCCAGAGAGCACACCTCTCTCCCTCTGCCTTCTCTTCTTTCTTTTTTTTTTGTTCTTCATTCATCCCTCCTGACTTGTTCTCTGTGGATATCATTCCTGATTCTGCACATGCAAATGATATGGGAGGGAACGGGAGAAGGGAGGGGAGTTGCGTTTCCCCCTACTCCTCCTCCGCCTCCTCCTTTTACTTCTCGTCTTCTTCTCCTTTTCCCTGGGTGGAGCAGGAGTGGGCTGGTGAGCCGGAGCACGCTGAGAAATCACGGGCATGGGGTCTCATTAGGTAAGCAGAGGCCAGGGCAGCAGGGCTTCAGCCAGACACTGATTATTCTGCGAGCAAATATCTGGAGGATCACCTCAGCTATATACACCTGATTAGAGCTACTGTCTCTCACAGTTCAGCCCTCTTTGACTTGGGAAAATGAATTAATCTTGCCTGTTGTGTGGGGTCATGTTGAAGCTTTGAAATTTGCTGCTTT